CCGGGCGCAGGGGGGTTTGGGGGGGGGGGGGCTGTTGCACTACAAACCAATTAAGCTGGACAACTGATTAAATGCAAGTAAACCTCACATTTAACCGGTTAACCAATTACACAGGATTTTACATGCCTTGTTACAACACAATTAAAAATCTTAGGATATACAAGCCATAAGAGTGAGTGAAAGTTAGTGCTCACAAGTATTCTGAATGGTTTGTAGGCCACTTCAGGCAAAAGTAAAAACAATTATCATCAACTCCGCAGTTTTATATTGCCACATCACACTAATAACTCTACCAAATTGCATGGGCAAGGGTAAGAATACTGAGGACCAAGCTAACTTCTATTGCAAGCTGCCCAGAATTTTGCACACATAGGTATTTGAATAATCTCTGTAAAATATACAGTTAAATACTCTTGGGAAAATACGTTTAGTAGGTTAGGATGAAATTCTCACTTTCCATGCATTAAGTTAAGTGACCAAGAATAGTACTTTATATTGACAGTACAAAATCCATAGTTATCACCTTACTTTCTATCATCCGAATATGACTGAAGGAGACAGTTTTTTAAAGCGGGCTAAAACTGCAACTATCAAGTGTAACCAGAAACACTTTGGATGGCTAGAATAACCTTATATGGCGATGATGCTATTCTCTCCCCAAACAGGATTTGTCCAAGATTTTCTGAAGGTCTTTTTTCTCTCTCATCTTGACAGAAGTCAAAACTGAAAAATATTAAGAGTCTTTAAGGTTAATGCATTTTAGGCTAAATTTTACAGTTTCAAAATAAATCAATTTGTTAAGCTATATCCTTGATATTTAAAAAAAACCACACCAACAATGGCTAATATACCATGGAAAGTCTGACTCCAGATACAATTCACTGTACAAAGTAACTTTTTAAAATCAACCACAACAGCACTTCATACATCAAATAGTATTGTTTAAAACAGGGGTGGGAACCTTTTTTGGGTTGTGGACCACTGACCTACAGAAAAATCAGTACACAAGTGAGAAGTGGGGGAAAAAACCCTCACTGTGACCCTTGACTGAGAAGGAGAAAGACACTCCCACATTCTCCTTGCACACCAGAGTCTAAGGGGGCTCAGCCTAATAGATTTTGTGCAGCGGAAGGGCTGGAGCACCAGCATGGGCTCCCCAATGTGGGGAAGGGAGCTGGGTCTCGAGATCCAGATCCAGGCAAGGCGAGGGCTGCATCTGGCCCCTCCCTCGGGCCTGAGGTTCCCCATCCCTGGTTTAAAATATATACTGTAAGACAGCAGTCACAGTGTCATTTATAAATTGCAATTGAAGTATGATAGCAAGTTCCAGAAAAAAAAAGAAAATTGTACAAACTATTGTTTATGTTCCTTCCATGACATAATGCCAAATGAAGGATAACAAAAAAAAGATTCCTTACTAATGGAAAATAATTAACATGACAAGTGTACATTCTTTAGAGAAACAAATCTGATTTAATTTTTTTGGCCTACTGGCATAAAAACATTCACATGTCCAGAAATCCCCCTTTCTTTGAAACATCTGAAGGGTAGGGAAATATAATTATCCATGAACTCTGTGGATATATCTACATTATGAACACAGACTTGAAACTAGGGTGTGTCTAGACTACAGGGTTTTGTCGATAAAAGTGGACTTTTATCAACAAAACTATACCTGTATCTACACTACCGCTGACAGCACGCGGCAGTTTTGTCAACAGTGGTAAACCTCATTCTATGAGGAATAACGCCGTTTGTCGACAGAGTTCTGTTGACAAAAGGCACTATTGCATCCACACTGTGTTTTTTCAAAAGAGAGCGTCTAGACTCTGTCGAAAAAGCAGCTTGCTTTGTTGACAAAACTTGCTGTAGTCTAGATGTTCTTTGTCGACAGAATCTGTCGACAAAGCCTGTCAACAAAAGCCTGTAGTCTAGACGTACCCCTTGGCTACATCTAAACTGGCATGATTTTCCGCAAATGCTTTTAACGGAAAAGTTTTTCTGTTAAAAGCATTTGCGGAAAAGAGCATCTAGATTGGCATGGACACTTTTCCACAAAAGCACTTTTTGCGGAAAAGCGTCTGTGCCAATCTAGACGCGGTTTTGCACAAGAAAGTCCCGATCGCCATTTTCACAATCGGGGCTTTTTTACACAAAACAATACCGTGTTGTCTACACTGGCCCTCTTGCGCAAATGCTTTTGCGCAAGAGGGCTTTTGCCCGAATGGGAGCAGCATAGCATTTCCGCAAGAACACTGACAATCTTACATGAGATCATCAGTATTCTTGCGGAAATTTAAGTTTTTCCGCAAAAGCAGATGCTTTTGTGGAAAAACTTGCCAGTCTAGACGCAGCCCTTCTGAATAAGAAGCCTTCCCTAACCAATGTGTAGGCATAAGCCATCAGTTCCTACAGCAATTAATGCAACACATGTAGTATTGTCGTACTGAGCTGATCTCCAGTATCTCTGCTACTATTCACTGCTTTTCTAAGAAAAAGCAGAGTAAAATTTGCAAGCATATCACTTGTTATTCCCCAGTGTGTTCAGCAGTAAAATTTGAGAACATCACAAATTTCACACTTCTATTTGGCAGAGCTAGAAGCATCAGCTAAGGCAGGCAGTGACATTCTTCACAGAAAAAGATACAAAAAAAATCCCTTTGCAAAAAAACAACTCCTTAAAGTAGAGGCTGGAGAGGAAGAGAGTAATGAAGATCTCCTACCACTTCACAGAAAAGAGAGAGAAAGCTCTGGTTTTACAGCAGATATATTGGGGATGAATTTCATATTTATCAGCTATTTAATGGATGTCTACATAGCAGGACTCCAAAGCAGGACTCAGGGACAAAAACACAGAAGAAAACCCAGCAACTTCCCCTATGTCTCAGTAGTGTAGGGGTTGAATTACTTAAGAGATTACCAGCTGCGTTCTGCTGCCACCCCACCAATTGCCATCTTTTATAACTATATTTGAGTAAAAGACCTACTCCTCCAGGCAGCAGACATCTTCCATTTCTTCAAATTGTATACATATTGTATCAGGTAACAACTCATATTACTTTAGTTCATATAAAATAAAGGCGAGGATAGAAAATATGCTTTCAAACACACTAGAATCATTCTATAATGTACTTACGCATCGTATTCATAAGGTAGTACTGATTCTACTGAGTCCAGTCTATTCACAAAGAGCTCAATTTGTGACTAAAAGAATGAAAAAAATCTATTAAGTTAACATGCACTTTAATACAAGAAAAGGCAACAGGGTTTTACTCATACAAAAAGTGTCTTAAACTAGTTGAACCCATTTCAAGTTTAGAAAGGTGCATTTTTTATACTTTACATTCTGCTGTGTAATGCTCAGACGACTCATGTTTAAAGTGTTTACTAGACTAAAAAATTTTGCACCTGTTTTCAGTCGGAGCTAGATCTAATCACCCGTATAAACACAAAACTCAGGTTTTTAAAACAGTGATTAAAACTTTCCTAGCTCTAACTACATTAGCACTTACCAAGGTACTAACAAAGCACAGCCACATCACTGACTAAAAGACAGGATCAGGTTTTATAACAGACACACCTACACAGGGAAGCTGCCCACTTTGTAGAACTGAGCAAGAAGTTCCCACATTTTGATGGCACCACACCATAAAAGAAAGTGATAATTTTTCAGCAGTAGGTGGTCTCTAATGACAGAAGAAAGTAGAGTGCCACTGAAGGGCTCAATGGCAATAGAGAAAACATCACAATGCACAAGCAGTCTTGCCCCTCTGCTAAGTTTCTAGAAGTGACAAGTTTAAAGCAAGGGGATTTCTGGACACCTAACAAATGCTTAGGAACATTAAAGAAAAAGGTTTATCATGCACACCTGTCTGCATAAAGTATTTAAAGTGTTCCTAGAAATTTTGCTTTGTATTTCTATCCAACTTGGAAATGTTTTCAGAGATACAATTTGACCAGATACACTAAGAACTTAAAAACTGTGATACTCATTCAGACCAATGGTCCATCTAACCCACTATCCTGTCTTCAACAGTGGACAATGCCAGAGGCTTCAAAAGGAATGAACAGAACAGGGTAATTATCTAGTGATCCATCTCCTGCAGCCCAGTCCCAGCTTCTGGAAGTTTGAGGCGTACGACACTAAGTGCATGGGGAGCATCTCTGATCATCTTGGGTAATAGCCATTCATGGACCTTGACTCCATGAACTTATGTAATTCTTTTTTAACCTATTTAAACTTTTGGTCTTCACAACATCCCCTGGCAATGAGTTCCTTGCGTTGACTGTGTGTAGTGTGAAAAAGTACTTCCTTTCATTTGTTTTAAACCTGCTGTATATTATAGTGGGTCCCCATATAGGTGTCCTCCTTATCCACTGTTTTGCATATCTGTCCCAATCAGCATATCCGTCATATGCTGTAAATTGCAAATGACAGATAGGCAAATTGGAACTAACATGAATCAATATGTTCCCCTATTGTATAGGACTGTACATGTGTTCCCGGATCAACTCATCTTTCCTCCTGCCTGATGTGATCAGCTGTTCAGTGTCTGGCAGGGAGGAGCAGAGAAGGCAATGGGGCTGGACCCCTTTAGTGGAGGTGCTGAAAACCAGCTCCCTAGCCCATATCTGCATGCTCCCCCGCCCATGTCTGCATGCTCCCCCATACTCCAACTACAGCCAGGAGCAGTGCCATGTCTCTAGGAGGGTGGGGACACGAACAGGGGTAAAAGGAACAAAAGCTGGGGACGGGCACTGAGCCAGGAGCTGGCACCCCAGAAGCAGACCTTGGTAGCAGGGGGCTGGGTACAAAGCCCCAGGCACAGAACTGGCTGCCAGGGTATGAAGCCAGCACCCCAAGAGCAGAGCGCTGAGAGCAGGGTCCTGGCCAAGAGCAACCCAGCACTAAGTCCCAGACACAGAGCCAGCAGGTAGGGACAAGAACTGCATGTCATGTTCAAGGTATGCATGGTTGTACCATGGATTATTGTCATTATAACATTTTTGTCTTATTATCTAGCCCTTCCCTAACAGTTCTTAGCATTCTCTTAGCTTCTTTTCACTGCTGCTGCACACAGATTAGATGTTCCCGGGAACTATCCACGCTAACTCCAAGATCTTTTTCCTGCATGCTAACAGCAAATTTAGCCCTTGCGGTTTTCTATTTTACTCTGCACTATTCAAACAAAAGATTTATTGTAGGGCAGATCCACTGCTCCTCTGAGAATCAGCTTGCTCTCACCTAGCACCTGGCTAAGGTCGGCAGGCAGGTTCAACAACTTGTACACAGCAGAGATGCTACAAGCTCTAGGATGTATCAATAGCCTAAACTCCACCACAGGAAAGAGAGACTCGGGTGTCCAAGGGGTGGGGCTCTCTCTTGCCACCAGAGCCACTGCCTCCTGAATGGACTGTCTCAATGATCCTTAAAACTAGCCACCGAGACACCCCCCTCCCCCAAAAACACGCCCAGGTCTGCACCCCTTACAGTCCCCTACACACACACAGGGACAGGGCGCTACGCCCACAAATCCCCCACCCACACTCAGGCGGGCGACTCCTGTTTGCGGGCGGGGAGGGGGTGCTGCGGGGAGGGGGGCTGTGGAATGGACTGTCTCAATGATCCTTAAAACTAGCCACCGAGACACCCCCCTCCCCCAAAAACACGCCCAGGTCTGCACCCCTTACAGTCCCCTACACACACACAGGGACAGGGCGCTACGCCCACAAATCCCCCACCCACACTCAGGCGGGCGACTCCTGTTTGCGGGCGGGGAGGGGGTGCTGCGGGGAGGGGGGCTGTGGGGAGGGGATGTGGCGGGGGGCGGGTG